TATACCTCCAATAAAAGATTTCGGCTACATTTTACTGGGCAACCGTTTTCATCTGAGCATAAGCTCTGTATCTCACGCCCGAGTGCAGAGGCCGGCCGATTCGGGGGGTTTTTACCGCTAGGGGAGAGAGGACAAACTGCGCCAGGGCGATAGGCGGGTCCTTAATCTTCTAGGGCAGTGATATCACGACTGCTCCCAATCAGGCCTGAATTTTCTAACTCCTTAATTTGTTTTATATTTTTATTGTTTTGACAGCACTTTGGTTGTAAAATTACACTGCATTGCATCCTAATGGGTGCGATACCCAAAATGTCTTTATCAAGAGAAATTTTGGGATGGGGAAAAAAACTCTTAAAAGACTTCCAACTCAATAGCAAACCATATCATATGATAAATCTAGAAACACCAAAAGATTGACATGATGCTGAAAAGATAAAGAGGATTCAGGACAACGTAAGAGCAAATATTAAACTAAACCATAGGAAACTACTAATAGTCTTGAATAAAAAGCATAGGAAACTATAAACCATCAAGTCCACATTCACCAGAAACTACTAATAGTCTTAAAAAAAACATAGGAAACTATAAACCATCTAGTCCAAAGTTGAGCAAAACTTAGGAGCACCAGGACCAGAGACCAATGTCGAAAAACTTATTGTAGTCTTAAAAAAAGCATAGGAAACTATAAACCATCTAGTCCAAAGTTGAGCAAAACTTAGTTGCACCAGGACCAGAGACCAATGTCGAAAAACTTATTGACAACAAAGACATCACAAAAGATCCCCTTAATGCTGCTTGATTTCACTTGGAAGGAGGGAAGAAGATCTCGCTTGTGGTTCTCTTCGACCTGAACTGTTGCTCCATCTCCGGAGTCGTGTTCAACGCAGCTTCAAGCAGCTCTGGAGATATGGCCTTCCAGATTCCGGTCCTCCCAGCCAAATGACAGAAGATTGGGCTGCACATGAAATCAAACATTAGAACCGCAATCAGACAATCATTTTTGCAAATTCATAAACAGCAATAGCAACGATTTGAGGTTGGCTACATGAATCATATTCTTCCATTTAGTTTTATTAAAGGGTTATCTGCTCCATTATTAAGTTACCATTATCATATAGGTCAATTGTAGTTAGTTCTCTTGGCGACATCCATCAGTCATGCTTGCATCGCTTCTCGTAATTGAGATATTCAATTAATGGTTGCACGCGAGACGAGCATAAACGAAATTCAAAACAATGAATTTAAAGATTCATGAACAACAGTTTGGTATCAACAACATTAAGTTAACCATCATCATATTCATCAATTTGGCATCTTAATTACTCCTAGACAAGTTAAGCCTCCATTACTAATAGTAATATCATTTCTCATTACTCGAAACTGGTGCAATTAGGATAATTATATAACGGTTTTTCTATAGAGTGCCCTTGGGCACTCTATAAGAGAGGAGAGAGATAGAGAGAAATGAATGGAGAAAGGATCCCAATGCAAATCAGGGGGCCCCCCTCCTCATTCATTTCTCTCTATCTCTCTCCTCTCTTATAGAGTGCCCAAGGGCACTCTATAGAAAAACCGATTATATAAAACTACGTTACAAAAGAAAATTTGAAGTGAACTCACTTGGGAGTAGTGATAATGGAAAACCATTCCATGCCATCGGCATCAGCAATCTTCGACACAACGAAGAACCTCGGCACAATAAACAAATATCCACCCTTCACATGAGTTTCAAGAACTCTCTTTCCATCAGCACCCACAACCTGAACTCTTCCACTTCCCCTAACAATATAGGTGACCTGAAAAGCTGAATCACATGAAAATCCAGGCGAGCACATAGAGAACCCATCAATCCTCACAAGGTCAGCCCCAAGTCCAACCTCCCCAGTAAGAGGAAGATTCTTAGTATTAAGAACCACAACTCGACCACCATCCTTAATATCAACATCAAGAGGAGCCTCAAGGCAGTTCAAAACCATTCCCTCCCTATCCAGAGCATTGGGTGCGGGCATTCTTTGTTCATCCTTGACCTTGATAATGCCGCAGCCAGTTTGGCTTGAGACAAGTTGCTTGACTTGGTCTTCAGGGAGATCCCAAGCTCTGCTAACAAACTCGGGTGTGAAACCTGTGAAGATTCCGTTGGTTCCAGTGACCTGGAAATTTGTGAACGCGCCTCTGTGGTGGCCTTTGGATGTATCACCGAGAAAGAGAATGACGAGCTCAGTGTCTTCAGGGTTGAACCACCAAGTTAGAACACCAAAGGGGAGGGCGAGGGAGTCACCAGTTTTGATGGCGAGGACCTTTTCCTTTGGGGATTCTGGGAGGAGAATTCCACAAGTTCCACTTCCTGTAAAGTAAAAAACAAATTCAGAAATTTTGATAACATAATGAAGGAAACCATAACAATAGTTTGGCTAAACTCTGCCGTATCTCAAGTTCATATTCACGAAAGAAAAGGTTCTCACTGTAAATCATATATTCAACATTGAGCAGATTTTGTAATCATAAGTCGGACAATCTCCGTAGGTTCAGAATGTGCTTATATTTTCTTATTGACTATAATTGAATTGCATTATGACAACTGTAATATAATATCATGAATTTATGAGTATTACAAAGCGCGGTACACACAGAGGCAGTAATAAAAAGAAGCACGTTTTTTAGAGAAAAACTTGGTGAGATGAAGTAACTAAATTTTCCGTAAGTAACATAGCCTTTTACTATTTAAGCATTAGAAATAATTGTGACTAGAAGCAAGAGGTTACAAAAATAGTAAACAAGATAAGCCACATAAATGCAATATATCCTATAACTTATTGACATATACAACTCATTGCCCAAAATGGTGAAACTGTTATGCCTATATATTAATGAATTACAAAACATTGCAGTAAGTGCATGTATTTATCCAGAGCTTTGGCAATTCTGGAAAATTAAGAACTAATTGTCTGCATATAGTTTGCTACATAAAAACTAGTCAATTCAAAAAAAATGTTAACTAAATGATAACCGGTGACAATAACTGGGGCAGAATAAACTACTAAAAGTCAAGGACAATTTCTTTTAAAATCTAGGTAGAGTTCATACCCATGTTGGAAAATATGTAGCCATGTGGCCGATATCCCTGCTTCACTATATATCTTTTCCATAAAACAAAGTATTCCGAAATTCATATAGTCATCTCTAAAAGAAATACGCTATCCATATGAATAGATGGTAAATTTTTCATGCAAATTGGATTCATTCTACAATTCTTAATGAAAAAGCATCTTACCAGTTCACAACAGATCAATTTCTTTGAGAAAATTGGGTTTATGATAATCCTAATGAACATGTTAATCACAATAACTAACAATGAACTATATACCTTAAGCTAGGATTGATATTATGACATACTTATTTGAAATATAAAAAGAATGCTGCCAAATGAAAAGTCAACATCTTATCCTTAAAAGGGAAAGCCAGAAATTTATTTTCCCAAGGCATGCCCATAAAAGCTATGGCGTCCTCTAGTGAAATACCAACTTTTAGAACGTGCATTGACCACTTTTATTTTAAACAAGGACCCACTAATTAAAAATCAAATTAAATGTTATATGTCACAATGAATTTCCTACTACCAGAGAACAAAATATTGTAATTGAAAGGGCTAATTCCAAACCATCGGAGGTATTATTGGTAATCTATTGGCGGAAAAAAAGTAAAAAATAATCAAAAATCAACCTTTCTATTTTTCAGAATACATGGTATACAAATAAATAAACCCAAAAAAAATGTTTAAAGTGGTAGTTCTCAATTCATAGAAGAATTATTGGAATCTACACTAAATGCATAAAAAAGACTAAAGTCAATTACTGGATATATGTAAAAAAAATGATTATTTTTTCTTTCTGCAGATCACACGATAAATAAACAAAACATTAAATTAAATCACATACAAGTTGTCAAGTTGTAACATAATCAACGATCAACAGCTACAGATCACCAAAAAATTCACATCTTTAAAAGACAAATTCACCTTAAATAACATAATGTAGAAACCTACACTTGATGCATAAAAAAATCAAACTTAACGAGCTTCTTCATATTTGAAGATCACATACTAAATAAAAATTAGATCACTTCCAAGTTGCAATATTAAACCGACCATTACCACCTACACATGATCTACCATCATTAGCTACAGATCACCAAAACAAAAAATTCAAAAAAATAATCAAAAAAATCAGCTTTTTTTTATACCTTGAAGAACGTAAGCGATCTTAGCAGAGTCGGAGTAGCTCGGGAGAGCGAGGCCTCGCTTCTCGAGAGCGAGCTTCGCCGCTCCGATATCGGCCTTCTCGAGCATCGGGAGCTCTTTAGGGCACCAACCGAAGTAAGATCCGCCTTCGCCGCCGTAAACCTTTGATGAGAGCTTGGGAGAGATATCGACGTCCATGGCTAAAAACTTAAAAACTTTAGAGAGAGAAATAAAAATGAGTTTTTTTTTTAGAAAGATGAAGGAGTGAGAAGGAAATTGGGTCTATTTATAGGGAGAATTTGATGCGGGGAGCGATATTTTTTGCGAAAATATTTTTCTGTTGCGCGAGTTTAGGCGATATTTTTATGGACGGTTCGGATTTGTTTAGGATTTTTTTTTTGGATAATAATTTTATTATTTTGTTAAAGCGTAATAAATTTATTAGATAATGTTTTTCTATTTAAACCCATTTTCATGAATTATTTGGAAACTCGTTTACTTTTTAACCCAGAGTAGAATCAGATTATAGCAGATTAGCACATTTTATAGCATATTAATACATAATTTTGGTGAAATAATTCGATTTGGTTGTTTTGAGTTTATGAATGAATTTTCAATTTTCAATTCTGTGGGTTTGAAATAATTAGAATAAAGGAAGGGTTTTTTTTTTAACTCTTAGAGTTATTTATGATTTCTCGGATGACAAGTACTTTTGAAAAAAGAGTGAAAAAGATAACATATTTGGATATGAAATTCATTTATGGGATTGTCTATGTTTTAGGATAATGACATTTTTGCACAATGAATTATGCGTTTGTTATAATTGTTGAAAAAACTTCCATATCTCTATGATTTATTATTTGAAAAAAGAAGGCATTTTAATGATTTCAAAAGATTACAACAGATTTGCCACTAAAGGGTTCGCTTCATTTTACTAATAGAAATTTGCCACGTATGATATCCGTAGAAAATTAAGTGACAAGAGAATGTGCTAAAGTTTCTCTTGGGAATTTATGCTGTATTTGACATGGAAAGACTTTAGCGATTGAATTGTCACTGTCATTAAAACGTGACCCGAATCATCGCTTGAATGATAGGTGGTCTTTACTTTGAGCATATAATTAGTAATATTTGGTCACAAATTCACAATTGAAGGTCCTCATTAATTTATAAATAATGTTAGAGTCACACCACCCACCACAATCCTAACCACACTCTCCCCTCTCATTACTATAGTAAACCGGGCCCCACATGAGATTTTAAAATTTTTAAAATCTCATGTGGAGCCCGGTTTACTGTAGCAATGAGAGGGGGGAAGTGTGGTTGAGGTTGTGGTGGTGGTGTGCCCCTAACACCACTCTTAATTTATTTGGAGTTGGGTTCATGATTATATATATATATAGAGAGAGAAAAAAAAAACTTATGTCAACTTAAGTGGACGTTCACTAAGTTTCTTATGTTAGACCCTAGAGGGGGGTAATTAGGGTCTTATGTTAATCTAATCCCGATTAAAAGCCAATTAAAATTATGTTGATTAATTTGTTCTTGCAAAAATGATATAAGATAGATATGAGCAAGAGAGATATGAATAAGTACAAATAAAAAGTACGTTAAGCAAAACACAAACAAACGATATGTTTACGAGGTTCGGTCACCACGACCTACGTCCCCGCTCCTCACCTCGAGGAGATCTCCATTATCACAATCCGGTTTGGAAGCCGGAACTTCTACACACTCGGTTTATAAGCTTACCGAAAAACTCTCACACAACAAATACTATGCAATCACACTTTACACACTAAGTGTAGGAACCTAACCCGTGTCCTCCTCCTCAAGTGCTCGGATGCAACCCCTCCCTAGGTTCGTCAACCGACGCCACTCCTATTGGATTTGACCCCGTCTCACGCCTCACACTTCTCTCGGTGTACAAGTGTATTACAAGTGATTCTCACAATAAAAGGTAAATACAATGATTTATTCTCAATAACAAGTGAGAACACAATGAAGCTCACACTCACTAAATCACACACCAATACCCATAATATAGTATGAAGGTATTAAGCTCAATATATGTGTGTGATAACAGTGAATGAAAATAATACAACTCAATAAATATAGCTAAATAAATGAAAATGAAATAGTAAGCTATATAAGGAAGAGTTTTAGAAAACTTCTCAATAAACAAGAAGAGTAGTAGATGATGATCCCAATAGGAATTGAAAGCCACTTCTTGTTGTAGAAAACTTCTCTTGAAGTAGATTAATGAAAATTAGCTTAACAGCTCTTTAAACGCCTCTTAAACCTTTGTTAAAACTTCTTGTAAAAACAAAACTCTTGGTTTTCTCTTAGATACTGAAATAGAAGAGCAATGGGGTATTTATACCCACTCAAGAACTCAGCAAAAACCAACTTGAAATGACCAAAAAGCCCCCAGAGAATCAAATCAGAAACTAGCCGTTGGAATACAATCATGAGTTCGGCGGTCGACCGTGGAAATCTCGCGGTCGACCGCGAGGCACAAAAAAATCTGAGTTTAGAAATTAAAAGCTGGCGGTCGACCACGAAAGTCTCTGGATGGTTTCACGGTCGACCGTCACGATCGACCGTGAGCACATAAAAACCATATACTGAAAATTTGCTGCTGGCGGTCGACCGTGGCGGTCGACCGCGAACTGATACATGGCATGTGACAAGTTTTTGGGCTGATTTTGAAATTGCGTTAAAAATATTAAATTAATTCCCAAAATAGTAAAACTTTAGGGAAAGTTTCTAAATGATGAAATAAACATGTTTGAAAAGAAATTTTTAGAAAATCAATTTTTGTTTGCGAAAACTCCCTGTTTTTGAAAAGTGTTCAGAAAACCTGTATTTTATGAACATGAAAATTTTGATATGACTTATAAACACGTATATATATATCATGCATACATTGTATGTATATAATAAAGTATGAATGAGCTGTAAACATGAAATAAAAGTTATTGTAACAACTTTGATGAAAAATCATTTATATGATAGAAAACGTCAAATCTGTGTTAAGTGTACATATATTGAGCTTACATATAAACCTACAATATATGTAAGCAAACTAAACTTATACCAGGTGTAGCACACACATGAACTTGAATCTTTAACTTTTGATTGCCGTGTGTAGAAATACCTATAAGGAAAAACCAAAAACAACAAAGACTAGAAAACATATTAGCGATAAATTGTTTGACGAATCATCATCAAAACTATAGGGCCAACAATCTCCCCCTTTTTTATGATGGCAAACAATTTATGATGATATGAAATACATGTTGATAAACCACATATAAACCAACTATGTATACAACATGAATATTAATAACCCACATGAACATGAATAAACCATATGTAGATTTTCTCCCCCTTTGACAACATCAAAAAGGAAAAAAAATATAAATAGGAGCAACGCTCCCCCTGCATTCAAGCACAGATAATAACCAAGGTATGGACAAAAGCTCCCCCTGTCAATTTGCATAAATGACATACAAATATCATATATAGGAGCTAAACAACCATATCTATCCATACATAGCCATAAACATATGAAATTTAAGGTCCAAACCAAGCATAAAGCATTATTAGCAACATGTTTGCACAAAACCACATATTTGTTTTCACCATACATTGTTCATGATAAACTAACATAACCATAGTAAACCAAATTAGTCCCACAAAACTACATTGTTTACCACATAAACCATATATAATTTGCTCCACGATAACACATAGTTTTCCACACAAACCATAGAGTTATTACAACTCAAAATAAAACATAAGTATCAAGTTCTAGTTCAACAAAACATAAACAACACCATAAGCATAGAATCCAACAAACAAGAATCAATCTCCACCATCATCAGAAGCAGGGCCAGAGCCAGAACCCGAACCAGAGCCAGAAGCAGATCCTCCTTCAGAGCCCTCATCAGAACAAGAGTCAGAACTGGAGGAGAGATCCGGAATCCCAAGTGACTGACGCTGATAAGATAGAATAGTCCTAACGTCCCTCTGAATAGTTGAGACCTAAGTCTCGAGATGATCCAAACGGGCACAGATATCAGAAGTGGAGGAGGTGAAAGCTTTAGACCGAGAATGAGAAGATGATGGCTTAGCAGGATCAGATAAGGAGTCAGAAAGTTGCATACGGGAGAGAGAGACTCTATCAAAGTATTCCTTACCCGGATCAACTTTGGGTTCATTTGTGAGAGCAACACCGAAGTGTTGAAGAATAAGAGTGATGAAGCTGCCAAAAGGAAGAAGTTTGTGATGCTTGCATGCCATGTTTTTAAGAAAAATATTTGCCTAATTCACTTTTATTTTGGCAAAAATAGCATAAACAGCATTAACCTTATCAGAAGCAAAATGATCAAAGCTACCGGTTTTGGGAATGAGATTATGAGCAACAATACGAGCTATGATTTTAGCGGTAGGATTGAGTGATTTGTTGTTCATAGGATAGGTACAATCGGGCTTAAATAAGATATCGTTCACAGCCTGATCGGTGTGATCGATAGACATAAGCTCAACGTCACTTGTTGGAATCTTAAGGATTCCCGCAAGCTCGTCGGCAGAAAATGAAATCTGAATATTTTTAACAGATGTGGTGATGGTTTGGAGACCATCAGCAGAAGATGACACAGATAAGTTTGCATAAAACAAATAAACGAGGAAAGGGTAATAAGGAACTTTACGTTCTACATCTAACAGTTTAGCCAACCCAACATCATGTAGAATCGTATGAATGTCATACATGGCTAATTGATCATACTTGATATATCTAGTAGGCAGGATTTTCAGTTTGCATAGCTCCCTATATTTCTTAACTAGGGTTTTAAACAGAAGATAATCCTCATAATAGGAGGCAGTGATAGATGAGGAACTAGATTCAGGCTTGGATCTCTTCTTAGGATGTATAATTACAGATAGTAACAACTGGGGTTTTACAGATATAAATGAGACAGAAATTGAAATAAAAAAAAACTTAGATTAGGCAATGAAACCCTAAGAGAGAATTGAAACAAGGAGGATGATGAAAGAGATTACCCAAAAGAGGTGAAGAATAGCCGCGATCGAACGAAGAAACGCTGCGGGCGACCATGGGAGATTTTCTGATTTGGGGAAAAATTTTGAATGAAAATGGAAGATGAAGAGGGTCGGATCTTAGAGAAGAAGAAGGAGCGGCTCAGATTAGATCAGATCAAGTTTGACGGTGATGGACAAAACGGGTTTTAA